AATGCAGGATGGCCAGCCCCCCCCCCGGGGGGGGGCGTGATTTCTCACTTTCTGTCTCTTTGTTTCTCTCTGTGTGTCTGGCGAGTGCACGCACCCTATAGCAAAAACCTCTCCAAAAAAAAAAATTATATATATATATATGGTAAAAATACATCTAGGGGGCCGGCAGGTGGTGTAGTGATTAATGGTGCTGGACTCCCACGTGGTCCACTGTGGTTCGAATCCCAGACGTGGTGCCTTGCTTTCTCACTTTCCCTCTCTCTCTGTCCCTCTCTGGTCAAATTAAAATAAATAAATAAAGTGAGATAAAATAACTCTTTAAAAAATACATCTAGGGCTTATATTGGAGGTCCCATTACACCTTAACATCGTCTTAGATCATAACTTGCCTGCCCCTCTAAAGCTGTTCAAAATTTTTCAGTGCCAAAAAAGGCCAAGTTGAAGAAAGGAAAGGAGGGTGGGAGGGAAGGAAGAAAAACTCCAAACAGGATTTGTTTTCAAAACTCCCAATCAACTATGCATGACATATAGTACTGTCTGAAGCTGGAATAACAAAAAGTTAGTAAAAGATTAGTGCTAAACACTTGAATAGTGAGTTTATGACTCAAATTATGAGCATCATATTCTATTACTGATACTAGAATAAACTGATAGTAAGTTTTTAATGTATTTGGAGAATTTACAGAAGTAATTAAAAATTTGACAATTTTTGGATCATATGAAAAACTCATTGATAAGAAGCCTGTAAGAATATAGCCAGGGGTCAGTGGGACCAGCAGTTAGCGTAATGGCTATGTCACTGGACTCCCACGTAGTCGACCGCGGTTTGAGTCCCAGACCCGGTGGCTTAAACTCACGCTGGGCACATGTGCGTGCGTGCCCAAGATCCCGAGAGGAGAATGGAGGAGAAGGTATTGCGGCGTGGCCATCCCCCCTGGGGGGTGATTTCTTGCTTTTTGTCTCTCTGTCTCTGTCTGTCTGTCTGGCGAGCGCACACGACATATAGCAAAAAAAAAACCCTCTCCGAAAAAAAAAAATAAAAAAGAATATAGCCAGGCATAGGCAGGTAGTGTGGTGGTTAAGGAGCTGGACTCCCACATGGCAGACTGCAGTTCAAGTTCCATCTCTGGTCAAATTAATAACAACAACAAATTTAAAAATTAAATAATTTTTTAAAAAGAATATAGCTATGTACTATGAGACCATTTAAAGTAGAATAAGGTTCACAAGAAGTTCACAAGGCTCACACTTGCCAAATATCAGACTGAACCTAAATGCGTATCTCAGGAAAAACAGATGACCACACCAGAGAAACTAAACATGTTCAATGATAGTCTTTTCTTTTTCAGCGTCAAGTTGAAATATTGCAACTAAATGAATTTCATCTTGCTTTCAAATTCTTTGCAGGTAGTTAGCTGTGAAATCAGGTACACAGGAGTGTTTCTTGCATTTGGAGCTATCCTCCTTGGATTCCCATCCTATTCATCTCTGCTATGGTTACAAACTAGAAAATATCACAATTCCAGAGGAAGGAACACATTCATCCTACAAAAACAAAACTGTTTCCCACCTATGTATTTATTTTTAATTATTATTTTATTTAACTTTATCTATCTACTTATTTTAATTTGACCAGAGAGGGACACGAGAGAGCGAGAGAGAGGGTAAGTGAGAAAGCAAGCTGCCAGGTCCAGGACTTGAACCGTCGTTGGCCATGTGGGAGTTTAGCACCCTCAACCACCACACCACCTGCCGGCCCCCTATTTCATTGCACATGTAAACAAAGATATCATTTTTAAGGTCTCTGGGACAAACTAGAAGGCCGCAAGTCAGTCAGGATCCCAGTCATAGGCTTGCCCGATTGCGCAAGGGCAATTCACAGCACAGCAGATGGGAAACTGATAAACACAGCTTATTCCCATTCCTTCCTGAGCCTTTGGACACTTTTAAACATAGTCTCTCATGCTTGGCAATATATGATCAAAACCTACAAACCGTAAAAATTATAACCCAGATAAAAAAGGTGGTTTACCTTCCACTGAAAAGCAACAGGGAGAAAAGTTCCTCACCCAAACTGAAGGGGACACAAGAAGGCAGCTATGAGTAGTTTAGATGCCACTAACTCAGTCCTACCCCCATATGACTTAGTGCTTTGCTACAGAACAGTCCCCCCTTATCCATGGTTTTGCTTTCTGTTGTTTCAGTTACCCAAGGTCAACCACAGTCTGAAATAGGTGAGTACAATAAGCCATTTGAGAGAGAGAGCGAGAGACTACATTCATAGAAACTTTATTATACTGTCTTAATCATCCTATTTTATTATTAGCTACTGCTGTTAATCTCTTACGATGCTTAATTCATAAATTAAACTTTATCATAGGTATGTATGTATAGAAAAAACAGCACAAATTGGGTTTGGTACTATCAGTGCTTCAAGCATCTACTGGGGGTCTTGGAATTTATCCCTTACAGATAAGGGGGGACTACTAAATTCCTTTAGACTTACATCATGCAGTCAGGGTTTGACTCTCATTTTTTCAAAGAGAGAATTTAACACTTTTGCTTACAAAGAAACACTTAAAAAGAAAGCTAATCATTGAGCATTGTGAGCTAACAGTGACAACCATGGAAAGAAATTTGACAGGCAATTCAATAGTCCAGAATACTTACCAATCTTTCTGAGATATGTTCTTATTATAAATATGCCCATTATTATCTTTATAGGGAGGACAGATACATTTACATCGGACATCCTCGAAACTCTGTAACCAAAATGGAAACTTAGTATAGCTTGTTGATAATTTATCATCAATATTTTTAAAAATATGTGAAGCATTCCCTGCCAAATATCCTAAAACCATTCATTTTAAACTTTAAATGACTTTGAGAGATATACATTTTTAAAACCCATGAGTCTTTTATGGCAATCCTAATGAATCATTGTATAGTACATCAAATTATTTTGAGATAATATATAATACATGATCTGTATGACTCATTAATCATGTTTATGGGTCATACCACAGTCAAACTGAGCTAGTATTATCACCAGCTACCTGCCAGTAGAAAGACACACAGTAATGTCTGAAAATAAGAAGACTGATTATGAAAGAATCAAACTAGAAATTATTCATAAAATAAGTACAATTTTTCTACCTACCAACCTTGCACCTTTGGCAGAAAGGCACTGACATGGATACAAGGGGTTGGGCCAGAGTCTAACCAAGGGGATCAAGTTTTAGGGGAAGCCACTACAACTACAGAGGAGGTACATATAGGAAGTAGCTTGATTTTAGCTGAGATCAGTTTGGTCTCCCCTACCCAGGAAAGTCTGCTTCTCACCCCTGGTTGACAAAGAATTCAACTACCAACAATGCAAATTTCAAGAGATGGAGAAAGAGGTGACCAGATATCTGTGTGGAGAGCAGGAAATGCTTCCTCAGCAAAGGGGAAGCTGAGAAGACAGTAGCTCATGGGTCTGCGGAAGACCATGCCCACTGCTCCTACCTACAGTGGCATGTCTCCACAGCTGTTGACAATTTGTGAACCCATGCAACTACTTAGTGGGCATCTGCTCTGAGACAGGACTTGTACTCAGCGAGGTAGATTCAGGTAAGTCTAAGATGTGGTTCCTGCCAGTAATTAGGACACATCCTAGTGAAGGAGCCTGACAAATCCACAGTCACAATATATTGCATTAAAGAGATGATGGGAGAAGCAGAGGGTGCCAGCAACGTTTCAAAAGTCATAGAACTTGCTGCTGTCCCTACTTCTGGTGGGAAGTAAGATAGGTTTTAAACAGAACCCATGATCGAAAACACCTGCCCGCCTGTCGCCTGCCTTTCCCAGCCTCTGCATTTAAAAATAGAGATTAAACCTCCTATTTCTCAAAAAATGCAATGTCACTGTTTCGCCAACAGGCTAATGTGAATTCCTTGTTTTTCCCAGTAAGGAGCTAGGTCCTCAGAGGGGAAGCACAAGTATCCACCGGGCCAGTGCAGGTTTGGAGAGTGGGGGCACCAGGGTACAGTCAAGGGACTACGAAGGTCAGGAAATGGAACCTGGGAGGAGGCCACAACCTTGTCGCTCCTGTAGTTTGGTTCTTCCCTTGCCCACCAGAGTATCAGGAAGAGAAGACAAGGGGCCAAGAGGCCCTGGAGGGAGACTATTAAGGTGATGAGAGTACTCTGTAGGTCCTTTAGAGAGGGAAGGCTGCCACGAGGGGCAAGTACCTCGTTCAGAGAAGAGCTAAGATAGTTCCTAACAGAGAAGGCTTCTGAGGCAGGGGCTTCCCACCGTTTCTGCTTGGAGAACGGGGAGACCTGTGAGGCTGGTGGGTAGGCCGTCAGAGCTAAGGGTGGAGTTAAAACGAAAGGCTGTAAACATTGAAGTGTGTGGTCGGGGCTGGAGGTGGGGAGGATGTGGAGGAAGTGAGGAGTTGCTCTCCAGGCGGTGGGCACTGTCAGAGCTGCCGGGGGTGTGGGGGGTGACTGCCAGTCTCTCGGGGCTAAGGGCGAGTGCCACCAGGCATCGGGAGAGGAAGTTACCTGGAGTGGGTGGGGGTTGCCAGGGGTGTGGAGCCGGGGGTCTGTCAGGGCTGGGAGAGGGCTGGGGCGGGGAGCAGGCTGGTGGACCCCGTTTCCGCAAGGCCGGCAGCGGGGCAGGAGCTGCTGTCAGGCGCGAACGCGGGGTGGCACTCACCTTGGCGGCGTCTGACAGCTGCACCAGCAGCAGCACGGAGAGCGCCAGGCAGGACAGGCTGAGCATGGAGCCAAGCCGGAGGAGGCCTCCCCACAGGGTCGCCATCGCGGCCAGACCCAACCGCG